CTTTCGCTGGGGGCCTGAGCAGCAGGCCACATTCGAGATATTGAGACATAGGTTGTGCGAGGCGCCAATCTTAGCCCTGCCAGAGGGCGTGGAGGATTTTGTTGTGTATTGTGAGGCGTCCATCTCGGGTTTGGGCGCGGTATTGATGCAGAGGTGGCATGTTATCGCCTACGCTTCGAGGCAGCTGAAGCCTCATGAGGCGAACTATCCAACGTATGACTTGGAGTTGGGGGCAGTTGTTTTCACCCTCAATATTTGGCGTTATTACCTCTATGGGGTCCGTTGTACCATTTACATGAACCATAAGAGTTTGAGGTATCTCATGGATCATCCGAATCTGAACATGAGGTAGCGTCGGTGGCTGGATGTGGTGAAGGATTACGATTCTGAGATCCTCTACCACCCGGGTAAGGCCAATGTCGTGGCCGATGCGCTTAGCCGCAAGGCAGCGCCGATCAAAGACATCTGTATGAGGATGACGGTGGTGACTCCGCTCTTGGTGCGGATTCGAGAGGCCCAACAGGAGACTATGAAGGAGGAACATCGTAAGAGTGAGCGTATTGTGGGCCAGATTTCCTCCTTCGATTATGACAGCCACGGATTGTTGACACTACACCGTAGAGTGTGGGTCCCATTACATGGAGGTGTGCGCCAGGTATTGATGGAGGAGGCGCACAAATCCAGGTTTTCCATCCATCCCGGGGCGACGAAGATGTACAGAGATCTTCGTCCTGATTATTGGTTGCCCTGTATGAAGCGGGATGTAGCTTGGTATGTTGAGAGATGCCTGACCTGCAGGAAGGTCAAGGCTGAGCACCAGAGGCCTCACGGCAAGATTCATCCGCTGGACATCCCCATGTGGAAATGGGAAGATATTACCATGGATTTCATCACCAAGCTTCCCAGGACCGCTCGGGGAGTGGATTCGATATGGGTCATCATGGATCGGTTGACCAAGAGTGCCCATTTCATACCGATCCAGGAGAGCACTTCGGCCAAGAGGTTGGCCGACATTTATATTCGGGAGGTTGTGGCCTGACACGGAGTGCCAGTCTCCGTGATTTCTGACAGGGATGTGCGGTTCACTTCCAGGTTCTGGATGAAGTTTCATGACGAGCTGGGTACTCGTCTGCACTTTAGCACCGCTTTTCACCCGCATACGGATGGTCAGAGTGAGCGGACCATCTAGACTCTGGAGGATATGCTGCGGGCGTGTGTTTTAGACTTCGGAGGTAGTTGGGATACTTACCTTCCTTTGGCTGAGTTTTCCTATAATAACAACTATCATGCGAGTATTGACCGTCCTCCCTTCGAGATGTTGTACGGGAGGAAGTGCACGACCCCGATATGTTGGGGTGAGGTTGGCCAGAGGGTCATGGGGAGTACCGAAGTGGTACTTAAGACTACGGAGAGGATCCAGCAGGTGTGGAGCAGGATTCAGACTGCTCAGAGTCGGCAAAAAAGTTATGCCGACAGGCGTCGTTCGAACCTGGAGTTCCAGGTCGGGGATATGGTGCTCCTGAAGGTGTCGCCTTGGAAAGGCGTCATTCGGTTCAGGAAGCGGGGCATGTTGGGCCCTAGGCACATTGGACCTTTCAGGGTCGTCGCCCGGGTGGGCAAGGTGGCGTATAGGTTGGACCTGCCAGACGAACTCAGTCAGATTCATAGCACTTTTCACGTCTCCCAGTTACGGAAGTGTCTGGTGGACGATTCGGCAGTGATGCCTTTGGATAATATTCAAGTGGATGACAGCCTGAACTACATTGAATGGCCTGTGGCGATCCTTGACAGGAAGTCGAAGGATCTAAGGAACAAGAGGGTGGAGTTGGTGAAGGTGCAATGGCAGCACCGCAAGGGCTCGGAATGTACTTGGGAGCCGGAGGACGAGATGAGGGAGCACTACCCCGAGCTTTTTCAGGACCCAACAGCAGACTTCGAGGACGAAGTCTAAAATAAGTGGGGGAGATTTGTAACACCTGGTTCCTGGTACGTATTTAAACTCAAGTATTTGGTATTCTACTATAGGACTCGGCGAGTTGGAGGACCAACTCGTCGAGTAGACTCGATATTATGCGGGGTTTTAGTGATCTACTCGACGAGTCGGGGGACCGACTCGACGAGTAGGAGTTGTCTGTACAAAACCATAATATTTGGGTTTGCACCCTATTTAAACAACTTATAACACCACAAACCAGCCTCCATTGTCCCTCCCAACCTAGAGAAAACCCTAACTCGAAACCCTAGCCATTATTGTGTGTTCTTGAGCTTGTTGGTACCTTTTTGTATGTTTTTGAAGTTGGAAAGGAGGAAGGAAGCTTGGGAGTTCAAGTAGAAGCAAGAAGATCCAGGGGTTTTGCTCCATTCTCAGCTCATTCAAGGTAAAAAGCTGGAACCTTGACCATCTATCTCTTAGATTTTGATTTGGGGCTCTTTCTACCTTTTTTATGAGTTTAGAGAAGCTAAAATCGGATTTTGTGGGTGTGCTTGGAGTTGCACTCCAGATCCGGAGCTATTGGGGGTCCTTATGACATAAAGGTGCCAACTTTGTTGCCATAAGCACCCCATGCATCTTGTAGACTTCTTTTTATGGTCTTTTGAGTCAAAAACCCCATGCATGGACGTCAAGATTGGGACTTTACGTATGAAATGGACCCTAGGCGGTCAGATCTATAGTTTTGATGCATTAATACCCATTATAATTGATTGGATAGTTTTGATCATAAAGGTACTCGACGAGTCTCTTGGGTGACTCGGCGAGCGGGGTCTCTTCTTCCCCCAATGTCTTATGGAAGTGGTTTTGGTTGAGTGGAGGGGACACTCAACCTGTTAGGGGGTTTGTGTTGTACTGGAAGATCAAAGGACTCAACGAGTTCAAGAACGAACTCGGAGAGTTCAAGACAATGTCCCAACCACATGAAGATGGACTCGACGAGTTCAAGGAGAACTCGGCGAGTCATAGACTGAACACCTTCATATGGATGAAGATGAACTCGACGGGTTCAAGGACGAACTCGGCGAGTTGGTTGAAGATAGCCCGATGTGTTGTTGAAGGCGAACTCGTCGAGCTCTTGCTAGACTCTCGAGTAGGGACGGGATTATGACATTTTGTGGATATGGGGAATCAGCGAGTTGGTGGACCAACTCGGCGAGTCGATTCAACCAGATGTTGACTTTGACCAGATGATTGACCATCGACCAAGGTGTTAACCTTGACTTTGTCTTGGGCTTGAGTTGACCCTTGTAAGGGTTACAAGGATGAATTGATAAGTTAGAAAAGTTGTTGTGTAGGGATTGAGGATTCGAGGAGAGTTGGTTTTCATACCGGGATCAGTGCAGACACTACACGACTTTGAGGTGAGTCTTATCCTAGTAGGAGTGGGTCTACGGCCACAATGTCGGCCCACGAGTAAGAGTATTAGATAGAAGATTGTCTTTGTGATAATTATCTAGTGTTGATATGAGATATGTTTATTGTGCCTGATATGATTACTGTGCTTAATATGTTTATTGTGCTTGATATGTTTACTGTGCTTGATATGTGATTAGCAGTAGTAGGGGGTGAAATAGTCCCCGGTTACCGGTTGAAAGATACCGAATGGGAGGGTAGCTCCCAGTTACCGGTTGAAAGATACCGAAGGGGAGGTTAGTTTCCGGTTACCGGTTGAAAGATACCGAGGAGGAGCCCAACTCCTGGCTATGCCCGACAGTTACCGGTTGAAAGATACCGAAGATTATGCATTATTTGGTATGGGTATGATGGGGGAACTCACTAAGCTTTGTGCTTACGGCTTTTAGTTTTGGTTTCAGGTACCTCTTCATCTAAGGGGAAGGAGCCGACGGGGTAGCAACGCATCACACATTCACACATGAGATTCCGCATTTGAGAAACCTGGGATTGTACTATGATATTATACTATTCGCTAAAATGGTTTTGAGACTTGTGATTTGTGACTTTATGTTTGAAAGGATTTCAATGCTGTTTTCCGTTAGCTATTTTTACAAGTAATATACTTTAAAACCAAAAAAATTCGGTCTCGATTTTGGGATGTTACAACATCAATTTGAGTACCACTATAATATCTACTCTATGGTTGATTTATTTGTATATGTACATAAATTTAGAAGCTTGAGCCATTTATTTAGAACGACGACATTAACATTAAAAAACTAGCAAAAGGTAGGAATTACATATGAAGAGTTTGAAAAAAAGGAGAGTTCACCCACTCTAACCAATTAATACAAAACTTAGGATTTCTAGCTCTAATCCAAAAAGAATGATTGAGACTGAATAGAATCTCAAATTTAAGACTTAGTAGGCACACGGTTGCTAAAAAGCAACTATTCCGAAAAGACCAAATAAACCAAAACATGGTCAAACAATCAACATCCAAACATTTTTTAACATTGTCGGCAAGACGTACTTGATCAATCCAAGCAACCCAATACTAAATAGAGCTAAAGATTAGAATGTCCAATTCCCATTAAGTCGCAAAAAGGTTCCACAAATCCACCGCAATGCCACAAGAAATGAAGATATGAATAGGACACCTCCGAGAGCCAATATCAATAATATTACATCAAAGTTTATAATTAATCTTTTACAATGTCAATTATGGTAGAGACTTAGCCTCTTAATATGGGAATGAGGATGCCATGGTTCGATCATTGGTGCTAACAAGAATTGGAGTATTAAGACTAACACCTAACCAGTCAAGCTGCCGTTCAAAAAAAAAGTATGACAGTTAAAGTAAATATGACTAAAAGTATATGATTTTTTTAATAGATATTTATCTAATTATATATTTTAAATTTATTATAAATTTAATAATTAATTTTATTTATAAAAAATTTAATATCGATATATTTATTTTTAAATAATATATATTTGTATGTATTTTAACTTGAATATATTTATAACCTATCATTGATCATGTGTACACCAAATGCAACCCCTTCCAACATTGTCAATTCAAATTTTAATGCTATTTTAATTACATCACACATGTTATATTAAAAGGAAGAAAAAAAAAATCGAACAGTGCATAGCCGACACTATTGGACCGGCGCGTACGGCTTCCCCATCATTCCGTTCCGTCATCATTCTTCAAGCAGTCCACACTCAATTTGGGAATTTCCAACCACTCAATACGACCTTAATTTCACACCCACCTCTCCACTTCCTCACATTCATACTCACGGATTTTGATCAATCAGAACAACTTCTAGCAGTGATTCAGCTTCATTGATCGTCACAAAAAGAAATTTTCAGGTGGGAAAGAGAAATGAACGACGGGGATGCAGCAAAGAAGCTGGGGTCGCCGGTGGTGCTGGTGTCGGCTACATCTGCTACTGTTAACGGCATAAGTAGTGGTGGTGGTGGTTTGTTCAGCAAAACTCGATATAAGTTCTGGGCAATTGCTGCAATTTTGCTACTAGCTTTGTGGTCTATGTTCACCGGCTCCGTCACTCTCAAATGGTCCGGCGCCGGCAACATTAGCAACCCTCTCTCTGATTCCTTTGATTCCCCAGTCCGCGACCTCGACATCTTGGTATCAATCTCTCTCTCTTTCTCTACAAACACAATTTTGATTGAACTGAATCTGATCGAAATTCTGTGAATGATTTAGGAAGTTGAGGAGCGGGAGAAATTGGTGAGGAGGTTTTGGAATATCTACACACACAGCAGAACAACACGGTTGCCGAGGTTCTGGCAGGAGGCGTTTGAGGCGGCGTACGAGCATCTCACCAGCGACGTCGCCGGATCAAGAAACGCCGCCATTTCAGAAATCGCCAAGATGTCGTTAGTCTCCGTGGATGTCGAGCCATTGCCTCTCAACTCGGTTCGCTTTCTTTTAAACCTTAATCAATCATAAATCTACTCTGATTCAATCTCATTGGTTTTAAACAACACTTTTGCTTATTACACAGGGTTTTGGAGGAAGCAGGAAAAGCATGAGGCAAGGTGTTGTCAGGAAGAACACTGCATAAATCTTGCCCACCAACTGTTCGACCAAATGCCATGTAATAAAGTTTCAATTTTCCGAACAGATTACTACATCGTGAAGGCGTGTTTTAGTCGTTTCCAGCATAATAGCTGGAGATGTTGAGCTTCAAGCTGCAAATGCAGTGGTTGTACCAAAATTGTGAACAACATTTATAGTTTTATACATCATGTTATGATAAGAACAATGGGGTATTAAATATTAATGCTTGTTTCTTAGTGGGATTTTGAAGTAAAATTACATTCCTATGCTTTGAAACTTTACATACAGTTGATCAAATTTTGCATAATACTATAAACGTTAGGTATGAATGATGAATCAAAGCACGAAATCTTGTAATAATTTGGAAGTGTAGATTTATTGGGTGGTGGGTCTAGGGATGATGAATCCATGTGTATTTCACAACTTTTGTCGATCAAATTTTAGCATCTATGGAATTATTTTCTTTGTGAGGTTTTTCAAGTCAACCATTGTTTGTGTTACTTAGTTTAATAGATTATTTGTTTGATTAATTAATTGTTCATGTTTGTTAAGATGCTAAATAGATATAAACGAACGTAAGCATCCAAATCAAGAACCATAAACTCGGGACAAAAGTAAAAAATAGGTCATTTAGATAATCAAAACTAATAGTCAAATTAGAAAAAACTCATGTACAAAATAGTAAATGAGAGCAAAAAATGTATATCTGTTTGACGTTGATAAAGTTTGAAATAATAAACTTTGTTGATGGATGGATGTCACGGTGCTTTTAGCTTTTCATGATTCCATGACGTTTAATACATAGAACAAACACTAAAAATGTATTTATAAACTTTTACTTTAAGGAGTTTTTTTTTCTTTTTAAATATAAAGTTAGTAATAATTGAATTAAAGATATACATTGTCGAAGATATCTTTATCTGATAAATAATAGGACCAAATCATTTAATATTTCTTGAGATATTGATCTCAAATAATATTTTTATAATTATAGTTTTGAAAAAAGTTTGTATTGGTAGTCGGTAGATGTTGGTTGAATGATGTCATGTTGTTTTTCTTTATTCTCCTCTATATTTTGCAAAATGAGTTCTACATTCAAATAGACAAACACATAGAATATAATCTTAACTTATGTTAATACAAAACGGTATGATTTAATTTATATTAGACAAAAGTTCAAGCATTTTATGAGAAAAAAACATAAAACATTATTAGTTTATGTAATTAACAATCAAAGATGAGTAGCTAATTCTAATATTTTAGAATCCAAAATTTCATCTTTTTTTAAACGTCAAACTAATCTATTCATAATTATCATCACATATGTCTCAAATGAGACATGAACCAATAACTTCTCAAATTAGAGAGTAAATCCTTACCGCTAAGCCAAAAGTTTTTTGATATTCAAAATTCCAACTAAAACTTTTGCTATATGTGCCAACTCCATTTAAGAAGCAATTATACGGCAACAAACATTATAATGAAAGCTTACCATTCGATGAGCTATCACAAATTCATAATAGTACTTAGGTTTTCGACCAATTGGCTCTTTGAAAAAGTAGAACCGTTGAACAAATCAACATTCGACAACTAATACGTGTCAAGAAAACAATAAATAACTGTCAACAAGAACTAAGAACAAAGAAAGATACATACTTACAATTGAAATCTCAAATCCTGAAAACTTGTTAACTTAAAAATGGAGACCGCCACTCGCCAAATTCCAATTTCTTGATCTTGAATCATGATGTGATGTCGTAATGCTCAGAGTGATTGTTATAAAGGAAGAACGAGAGAAAGACGCTTTTATTGTAAAAAATGGGATTTGAAAAAACTTAGGCTTGTGAGATTTTTGAGACATTGTCTGCTTGAGGGGTGGCACGTAGAAGAATAGATAATTGTTGTGTTACGAATTCAGACAAATATGTTGGAAATTTGGTTTTAACCAATTTCTAAAAATGAGTTTTTTTATTTTATTTAATTTTTTTTGTATGAATTTCTAACTTTAAATATAATCAAAATGTAACAATTTTGTGTTATTCTCCTTATTTCGTTTTGATATATCACACGTGCAAACGAATTAAGGGTGAATGGAAAATTTTATGTTAAAGTGAGTTAATTATGTTTTCTTTTTTTTTTGTTTTATCCTACATGGGTGGAAGGATGAAAAGTGTCAGAGCCGGTCATTAGAATGTAAATAACCTCAAATGCCCAGGACAAGTAAGAGTAAAAGGGTCATATCGTTATTATAAGTTTTTATTTTTAAACAAATATATATAATATATAATAAAAAAAAAGGCTTTGTGCAGCTTCTTACTTTGTCCCCCTTTAACGCCCCCTGTAAAAAATGCAAATACGAGTCAGATTGGCTTTGATTCATTGAACTTGTGTGTAAGCGTTCATCTTGTGGGTACCAATGCATAGAAAAATTCAAGAACCTTTTTGCGAAACAATTTCAAACCTAAAAATAAGAATAAACTTTTTTGACAAAGAGATCTGCCACAAGTGAGTCGGAGTCCGGAGAAGTGTTGTGGGCTCGTTTACAGTGGGCCGAGGTTGGTTAGATGGGTTACACTTACTTACTCCTAATGTTATAAAATATTAAATAGTTATCCAAATCCGAAAAACTGGATTTATGTGTATATGCGAATTTCAGTAATTTGGGATACAAAAATTATAGAAAAGCCATATTTCTTTATAATATGCTTTATATTTATTTATAAATCCATAGAGGGGGTGCGTATATGATTATGCACATTAGGAAGATGATAGCTCTCGAGTAAACATGGCGGGAATTCTTGGCGCCATACGACATACTCTTATCTTTTAGGAGAGACTATTTCATCCCTTATAAACCCTACCCCCATCACCATAACCCTTTTCATCCATTTCGTTCTCCCATCTCCAATCGCTCATCAAAATCATCATCCTTTAGGCTAATTTCAGCCATGTCAAACATCAACAACATCCCTGACATCGAAGGACCTGCCCCAAAGGTTCAGAAAATCGACGATCGGAACGGAAGCTCCGACCACCAACTACCTTTTTTCAGAGTGAAGAAGCTATCGGAGAAAGCTGTTTTGCCTGCAAGAGGTTCGTCTCTTGCCGCTGGTTACGATCTTTCAAGGTACGTGACGTTAATTGCCGCAATCAAAACCTACTTTTCATCTACTTGTTATTGTTTCTATTCAGGAAAGCTATACAAGTAGTAATGAAATTAACTTATGTTGGATTAGAATGAAATCGAATTTGATAGTTCATATGATTTTGTTAACCTTATTTGGATTTGTGTTCGATCCAGTGCAACAGACACTAAAGTACCAGCGAGAGGCAAAGCACTGATTCCCACAGATTTATCCATAGCAGTACCAGAAGGAACATATGCTCGAATTGGTATGCATTTGTGCTTCTCTGGTTGAATACTTTCTTAAAAACAAGATCCATAGCTGTATAATCATTAACGTATTTATCATTATGATTGTTTTGAAGCTCCAAGATCCGGTCTAGCATGGAAACATTCCATTGATGTTGGAGCAGGTGTGATTGATGCCGACTACAGGGGTCCGGTTGGGGTGATCTTGTTCAACCATTCCGATAATGATTTTGAAGTGAAAGCGGGTGATCGAATTGCACAGTTGATTATCCAGAAGATCATCGTACCAGAAGTCATGGAGGTTGATGATCTTGATTCAACAGTAAGAGGCGTGGGTGGGTTTGGATCAACTGGAGTTTAACATTTCATACAAGTAATTATTCATTAGGAAATAGGAAATGTTGTTCAATTTGGCTCCTAGATTTTGGTAGTTTACTTGGTTGCCTAATATGGCTGTTTTATGGATGGAGCATTTTGTCGAACAGTTGGTGGGTATGTGAAAAAGCCTCGAGTTGTCTTATTTGATATTTTTCACTGCTATATATTGGAGAACTTGAGAAATTATTCTTGCAACTGTTTAACATGATGTTATCGAAACAAAAATCGTTATACTACTCAACAAATCAAACCAAAAAATTAGAGTTCTATCTTATAAAACATTAAAACTGAAAAAGTAAACAACTAAATGAGTATATAATGTATGGGAAAAATATGTCTTTCTGTTATAAAAAAGGTTCCATTGCCGGGAATCGAACCCGGGTCTCCTGGGTGAAAGCCAGATATCCTAACCGCTGGACGACAATGGAATTGCTGACAGTATTTCTCAAAAATAATTAATATATCACATACTCTTTGTTGCAGAAAGTTAAAATTTGAAAACACTTTTGCCTTGTGGTCTTTTCATTAATAAATCAACGAAAATTTGAAATTTTGAGAATTGGTCGTCAAATAGGATTTTAAGGTGCCCTATTTAAGGTGCAAATAGGGGTATGTATGGGGCGGTTTGGTTCGGTTATTGGTCAAAACTGAACCATAACCATTATGATTGGTTAATGTATTTTGGTAGCCATTGGGTATAGTTAATATTGGTTATGGTTAATGGTTTTTGTCGGTTAACGGTTTTGGTTAATGGTTAATATTGGTTAACCATAATCTTCAAAATAATATAAATGACGAAAGTATATTGACATAAAAAATGAAAACAGAATACAAAAAAGTCATCGACGCCAATGTTTGTAACCTAGCTTATAGTAATAGAATAAAATGTATACATTTGATACTCAGAGTGAGATAACACATAGTCACATTCAAAATAAAAAACATTCAACAAAAATATAAAACTTTAAAAAAATGACATTAATAATTTCATATATTGATAATTGATATTAACATTAAAATAAAGTCAAAAAATCATACACATTCAATACGATTAAATAAAAAACTATAAAATAAAATAGCCAAACATTTATATTATTTGTTATTTGGATAAAAAAATCCAATCACTCATATACATTCAATGTGATTAAGTCAAAAAAATCATTCGAATAGGTCTATAAAGTCAAAGCAATATTTGATTAGGATTAACGGTGTAAGAAACATCCATTTAGGATTATGAGTGTGAAGATTAAACTAATTGTGAATAATGCTTACAAATTGTAGAATTAGCCGATTAGGAATTACAACATTAATGAATAATCTAACTATTGGCATGATTGGAAGATTGTGTGTGTCTGCGTGATCAGCCTTTTATGGTTTGATTGTTCGTTCGTCTCCTGATAAGTGAGGATTAATGAATTATATTTTGGAATTTTAATGGGTCTTAAATAACTTTTACTATATTATTTTATATATAATCTATAACTTTTATA